GGACAAGGACAGACAGCACTTCAAGGTGGCCGAGGAGCAGGTGCATGGCTGTTTCTTTGCTCAGCTGCGTGACATTGAGCCTGACCCAGAGCAGGAGGGGAGGCTCCAGTGGCACCAACCCATCACAGTGCTGCGTGTCTGTGCCTGAAGGCACTCAGCCATGTGCTCACCCACATCCAAGCAAAGGGCTGACGCCCAGAGGGCTCTCAAGACACGCTATTTCCTTCTAACTTGCTGCCCAAAACCATGAGCAAATCCTTTCAGCACCAGCCAGGGTGGGGAGGAGGAAAGGAAGCAGGGAGCCATGAGATTTGGTCACGGTACAAATTGGATCCTATCCCCAGGCAGGCTGCAAGCGAGAGGGTTTGCAGCTAACAGAGCTGTGTGGCATCCACTGGCGCTGTGCATGGGCAGGGTGGCACCCGGGCAGTGCCACCACTGGCACTTTTCTCTCAGCCCCACTGGGGTTTGCTTTTCCCTTGGCCACCCAAGGAGCAGAGCCACCATCCCCAGCACTGTGCCAAGCCCTTGGCCACCAGCACACGACCGGGACGGTGAGGGCGAGCGGTGGCACGGGGGGACCACGAGTGCCACAGCTGCAGCCGCATCCCTCTGGGCACTGAGGCTGCCAAGGGAATGCCACCACCCAGGAGCTCCTGCCCAGAGCCTTTGTCTTCTGCTGAATTCCTCCTGGTGAGAGTCATCGGCTGCAGTCAGAGGGTTGACCCTCTTGGGAATGATGGGTGAGAGGGAGCGACGTAGTCACATTACAATTACTTGAAAAAGGAGAGGACTTCTGAGCGCTGAATCACATGGAGCCAGGATCATGCATCTGACCGATGCTTCCATCTGTCTTTCCCAATACTTTCCTTAAATAGCAGAAATATTAAGAGAAATTCAATTGGAATTTGGCATAAATGATTCTTCAGTGAACAGAAGAGGGCCAGCTGCTAACATACTGCTGCCTTGCTCCCTTTCATTAACACGTATACAATTTGCACTGCAGGGAGAGCCAGGGGCTGCCTATAGCCGTGCCCAGCAGATAAAGGAATGCTCCATGGTGTGGCTCAGCAGCAGAGAGGTCGTGGATGCCTCACTCTGGGGGAACTGCAGCAGCAAAACTGCCTGCAGTGATGCTTTGGTGTCCCCAGCCTGGCACAGCCCTGCACTGTGTCCCCAGGTTTCCGCACAGCCAGACCCCTCTGTGGGAGCTGCCCCCAGCTCTGCAAATCCATCCATCACCCTGCAGCCCATTTCTCTGCTTTATCTCAAGGGAATCTTTCCCAAACAGCAGTGCAGCACAGCCAGGGGAATGCCCTGAAGGCAGGAAGAGCTCTCTGTCCAATTCCTGTACAGTGCTGCAGTTCCCCGAAGCACTCCCCCGGCTTTCACTTTTCTTTTAAGCTCTGTCCCATCCTTTCCTACAAATGTGCAGTCAACGTAGAGTGAAATGTGGTAGAGTTGGACACGGGGCACTTCTCAACATTGCATTTACTCCTGTTTGGTCCAACCAGCTCTGCAACTTTCTGGCTTCCGAGCAGAGAGCACAGGAGTTGGGTAGCACTCATGGGAAGGCTCCTTGGCATGGACCTATTGCAGAGATGCTGGGCTCCAAGGAGCTCTCTGCTCTCCCACTCCTAAGGAAACAATGTCCAACAACTCTCAACCTCCACATCCCTCTCCTTCTATCTTTCTATGGCTGACACTGCACTCACAACCAGCGCATCCCTCCTGCATCCCCATCCCCACACCCACAGTGCTGCCCCAAATTCCCCTCTCCCCGCAGAGCCCCAGTGCTGCAGGTGATGCCCAGCCCCAGCCCGGCTCATGCCAGCTGCCATCACATTGTTCCCATTCTGACAGCTGTACGGAAACCGGGAGCAATGCTGACATGTGTCAGCTATCACCAGCCAACAAGTGCCGAGGGCGGCTGTCCCCACCACCTAGAGGCTGTCACCCTTGGCTCACGTCACGACAAACCGTGGCAGGGAACCAGAAGTATTGTTTCAATTATTTCCATTATATAAAGTCAAGGCATTCAATATATTCTGCCTCTAAGGGGCTAAGCTAAAGGAGATAAAATAAACACTTGGAAATCTGCTCTGCTGGCGCGGGTGAGGAATTCGGTTCCAGCACCAAACTTCCCCTCTCACTTCTTCACTCTCCTTCGCTTTCCTCCTCTGTTTCCCTTCTCCCACTGCCCCTCTTCCTTCATCACTTCTCCAGACCAATTCCATCTCTGCGTGTGCTTCTGTTTTGGCTCCACCACTGCACAGCTGCTGCAGCAGCCAGGACAGGACTGGAGGAGCTGCAATGCTGGCAGTGCTGGGAATGGGGTGAAGCCAACCCTCCCCTATACAGCTGCCCCCGTGCTCCATGCCCAGCAGCTCTGTATTGTCAGAGGAACCCCTAGGAGGCACAAAGGGGAGCTGGCCCAGACCAGGGCATGGCAGGAGGAGGCAGAGAACAGCTTGCCGTAAGGATGCTGTAGGATGCTCCATGCTCTCAGCTGGTGCAACGATGATTAACCTGCAGCTCAATGCTTCCAGCAGACTGCCCACAGAGCACAGAGCTCCTCCCCAGCACGGGGCTATGCGACACATGGGAGAAGCCAGGAGGAGGCCAGGATGAGGCTGGCAGAGTGCAGGATGTGGCCATGCCATGGAACAAGGCCAGCAGCATGCAGGACATAGCTATGCCATGGGATGAATGCAGTAGAGTACAGAACATGGCTGTGCCGTGGGATGAGGCTGTGCTATGGGATTACACCAGCAATGCAGGGGATGTGGATGGAGGATGCAGGATGCCCCGCATGGTATGAAGTGGGGCCGTCACTTCGTAAACGCCGGAGAAAGGGCCTCTGCAGAGCTGGCGTGGGGAGCGGCTGTGAATTTCCATTCCTGTGGGAAGTGGGCTGCCACCGTCCAAGCATCTGGGCTTGTTATGATGGGAGAAGAATGCCAAATATTTTTCTTCCTTATCCACTACCATCCGTCGAAATCCTCTCCTGATCAAACCCATATTCATCGCTTTGGATGCACGATGCTTTCGGAAAGCCGCCCCTCCCGGCCAGCACGGCACGCAGGGCTCAGACCTGGGAGGAATCAGTGCCTCACCCACAGGGAGCACTGGGCCCCCTCCATCCCATTGGGCTCCTCCATCTCATTGGGCTCCCTCCATCCCACCGCATCCCTCCATCCCAGCAGGTCCCCTCTGGACCCATCCCCAAATCACCCATCGCAGCGTGGTGCCCCTGGGCGGTGCAGCTTTGGAAGGCCCCCAACATTTCCCAGAGATGAAAGCACACTCAAGTGTCAAACAAACTTTCTGAATTATCTCTCTGGATGTTTTCTCCCCGGTGTTTTGGAAGACAGAGGAGGAACATTACATTCCCCCAATGCTGGCACGGTGTGGAGCTGCGGGAGGGAGCGGGGAGCTGCCAGGGCGCCCGCGGGCTCCGCTCTGTGCGCTCCGGTGCTGTCCGTGAGTCAGCACAGCCCCTGGCCGTGGCCCCAGCCGGGCACCTCGCCCCGAAACGCCGCCGAGAACAAAGAGGTAACAGGCGCCTGATTAATGAGCGGACAGCAAATCATCCCTTCCCACTGCAATTTTAGGAGGAGTAGTCATAAATGACCACGTTAAGGGAAATGAACGGGATTGATCTGCTCCTGCGCAAGCACTCATCACCCATCGGGCTCGTTAGCAGCAAATGGCACAGCCCAGGACTGGTGTCATCACTGTCATTGGCAAAGCCTCCGTGGGCATTGTACAGCTTGAGGGATGAGCTGGGGGACCTGCTGTGTGCTGGCCCCAGGACACGGTGCTAACGAGAGCCACCCAATGAGCACGTGTTGGCACGGGGGGTGGCCTCGGATGCAGCGTGGTGCCAGGAGCAGGGCAGTGATGCTGGGAGTGGTGATGCTGGGATCAGGGCAGCAATAACTGGAGCAGGGTGGCGAAGTTGCAGCCAGCAGCATCCACAGCTCCCAGGGCAGCAGCAGCTCTATTTATAAGGGATAAAGGGCTGGGGAGAGTGAGGTAGGGGCTGGCTGCTGGTGGGGGACTTTAATATGTCAAATGCATTTTCACAGACAAACACAGACCTTCCTGATCCCACACTGCTCTGCCACACACTGCCGTGCACACACAGGACCCTGCCAGCCCCCACGGATCCACAACAAGGGCACATTCCTGCAGGCACCTTGTTTATGGAAAGCAGTGCTGTGCCAGATGCTGAAAACCTGTGTTTTATGGGTAATTTTTAAATTTATTTCACAACGGCGGGAGAGAAAAACGAAAGCAATCCCAACCATGATTACTCCTGGTTTCCTATGGACAAGGCCAAAGGGGTCTGAAGCAGTTCCTTTGTTTTCTGAATCGTAACTCCTTGGGAGTGAAACGCTCATGTGTGGGATGGGGGAGGTTGAGAGACGTGGGGCGGGCTGTGGGAGCTGAAGGGAGAAATCCAAGTGGGGAATGGAGGCAGTGAGGACAGCAACCCCGACACGCAGGTGCAGCTCAGCAGTGGGGCAGCTGCCACCTCCCTCCGTCCCTCTCCCCATCCCCAATTGTCCTCAGGTCTGCCCAGAGTTGGGGTGACACTGATGGATGCATCCACCACAGTGCTTTCTGCTGCAGTGAGTCTGCAGGTGCTCAGTGGTCTCCAAGCCTGACCTGTGCCCTCCCAAGGTAAAGCAGGCCCAGCACATCCCAGGCCCTTGCTTTGGGTAAGGGACAGCCTGCTCTCAGGGTTCTGACCCGAAGGGCTTGTACCTGTGGTGGGAAACTGCTGCCAAGCATCCCACACATAGATGAGAGCATCCCGCACACAAGCTTTGCCCTTGCTGATGTCCAGTGTGGGCCCAGGGCTCCCTCTGATTGTGCTGAGACCCCCGGGTTGTGCACAGGGTGAGGGGTGCAGGCAGCTGCTTGGGAGCCAGGTGCTGGGAGCTGCAGCTCAACTTGGCTCAGCTTGGCCCAGCTAGGTTGGCTTGATTTGGCTCAGTTCTGCTCAGCTTAGAAGAGCTTGGCTCAGCTCAGCACAATTCAGCTTAGCAAGACCCAGTTCCACTCATCTGCTCCCAGCTCAGCTCAACACGACTCTCTTCAGCTTGGCTTGGCTCAGAAAATCTCAGCACAGTTCAGTTCAGCTCAGCTCAGCTCAGCGTGGCTCCACTCAGCTCAGATCGGTCCAGCTCAGCTCGGCTTGACTTGGCTTGGCAAGGCACAGCGCCGCTTGGCTCGGCATGGCACGGCTCGGCATGGCTTGGCAGGCTCGGCATGGCTCAGCAAGGCACGGCATGGCTCGGCTTGGCACAGTATGGCTCAGCACAGCACGGCACACCCGATCCAGCCGCAGGACCCCGCGCCCTTCGCCCCCGACCGGGACTGAATCGGGGCCGTCCCGGGGCGGAGCCACCCGCCTGTCCCCGCCCCGCAGAGCCGGGGGCTTCGTCGTGCCCCCGCCGGGCCGGGATGGCAGCGGGACAGACGGACGGCGGCGGGACGGCGGGACAGCGGGACGCTCCGATCCGGGCCAGGGCTCCGCAGCGCGTCCGTCCTCACTCCTGCCGGTGTCACCGGGGGTTATTTTCCCTTCTCCCCATTTCTCCGGAGGGGAAAAGCGAGGGGCTGCCGTTGGTCCTAAAGGCAGAGCCCACTGGCGCTGCCCTGCGCTGACCGCCCCATGCCCCCATAGCGCTGTGCCGTGCCCGGGGCGATGCTGTGAGCTCCGCTCGGATGGTCTGAGTTCCTCCCTGCCCTCCACTCCTCCTGCCCAGATGCAGTGGATAATATTCATGTTGCTGTTATTCATCAGTTCCGTGGAAATGCTGTCGCAGAACCGATGGAAGAAGCAAGGTAGGGTGGGTGCGGTGCGTGCAGGGGGTCGGGTTTGCCAGTATTTCTGTTCTCAGCTCGATGCAGGAGGTGCAAGAGGAGCAAAACATCCTGAAAGGATGCTCAGATACACCACCATCCCCTGCCCCATCCTTCCCCTGAGCAGACAGATCCAGGGCGCAGAGCAGGGTGTCCTGAGATGTGTCCCCTCCGCTGGGCAGTGCCACCGCGGGGCTGTGACATGAGATGCTCACTTTGTGCCGGGATGGAGACAGGATATTGTGAGAGCAGGGCTTTTCGGAGGCCTTGGACTGCAGAATGGACAGTTTTCCCTGTGTTGTACATGGTTCTAAGATGTGTCCACGGGGGTGGCAAGGCTGCTGCCAATGTGCCCTGTGTGGGGACAGCCCCAAAAGCTGGCAGTGTGAGCCGGCACTACGGGGGGTGCGAAGGAGCATCCATGGGTCTGAGCACAGCTCCGTGCAACCAGGTGGGGTCCTTTCCCCTGTGCAACCCCATCTGCATCTACCACCAGCACACCTGGGGAGGGGTACCCAAGAGCTGTCCCTGATTTCCCCATTCCCAGTGCTATGGAATCCCATCTCAATGTGCAGACAGAGCTGTTTTTAAAGGTGGGCATCATAATATCCACTCATCACATCCCGTCCTGTCCTGGTATCGGCTCCCCACCTTCCATGCCCAGCCAGGAGATGGAGGGAGGACGGCAAAGAAAATCATCCCAAAGAACTGGGGAAGGGAAAGGCACTCGTAAATCCCCGCGTCTCCTGGGAAGCCGCTCTGGCTGCAGCCAGGAACACAAATGTTGTCAGCGTTTGGTAAATATGTAACAGAGACCATAACAACTTAATGGATCCAAGGTGCTTCGTTAGCGGGCTCCCAGCACACGCAGCCTCCTGGCCGCAAAGTGCTGCTGCCTGAGTCCCTGTGCCCTGGCACAAAGAGCAGGAGGGGACAGCTCAGGGACAGCTGCGTGGCACCACTGCAGTGCATCCTTTAACCCTGGGCTGTAGGGCTGTGGGTCTGTAGGGCTGCGGGTCTGTAGGGCTGCAGGGAACCCTCTGCCTGCATCTCCTCACTGGTCCCCCAGCCCTGTGCTCCTTCTTTTGCTTCCCAGGAGGGCTCTGGGACTGTGATTACAATGGCACTGCCACCTGTGCCACTACCCAAGTGTTCCTTTTTGCCCATTTGGAGATCTGGCCCCACTGCATGTGCCCAAGGTTGCCTCCTCCTCTGGGCTTTGCTATGTGGAAAATCCCCTCTCCACGCTGTCAGACCTGCTGTGAGCGGATGGACCTGGGTGCTGTGCACTCACTGCTGTGTTCTGGCACTGCTGGCACTGCTCAGCATGAGCTTCTGCTCAGAGACACGAAGGGTGAGCTCCAAGCCAGAAGAGAATGTTCCCAACAGCACCGGGTGCAGCAGAGGCATCTTGCTGTGTGCACGGAGAAGCCGGGGGAGGGCCCGGTATGGAGATGCCCTGCTGTTATGGGGTGTGCCCCATCCATGTGTCCATGTCCTTGTCCCTGGGAGCAGAGCCCCCCGGGGCTGCTGTCCCCGTGTAAATCACAGCAGTGGGGGAGAGGAAAGCGGTGGCAGCTCTGGAGCCAGCAGACAGATCCTTACTGCAGCTCCACTCAGATGTTTTCAAAACGCTTTTGTTCCCTTGACACACATCAGGCAGCAGCTAATTAAAGCGCCTTAGAATGCATTTCTACCTGCCGGCTGCTCCCGGTTTCTCTCCCAGTTGGGATGTGCTGAAGGTGCCATTGCTGTTCTCCACCCCCCCCCCACACACACACACAGCCCCTATCCTTGTCCCCGCAGTGAGCACCGGGCTCTTGGAGAACTGCACGGGCTGCGTCCTGTGCTCGGAGGAGAACGGCTGCATCACCTGCCACCACCGGCTCTTCCTGCTCATCTGGAGGGACGGCATCCGCCAGTACGGGGTGTGCGTCCACACCTGCCCCCCCGGCTACTTCGGCGTGCGGGGTCTGGAGGTCAACAGATGCACAAGTACGTGGTGTAGCCAACAGGGCTGCGTGCCTGCGGGCACCCCGGGGTCCCCCTGCTTCCCGAAGCATCCCCAGGACGTGCAGCCCTGGGCACTGGCTGGAGACGAGGCGGCTGGGATGCAGGGATTTCCCCCTCTCCCTTACCCAGTGGGTTTGCGATGGGTCCCCGGGGTTTTCGGCCCCGCGCACGCCCTCCCGCTCACAGCCCCCTCCCCGGCAGAGTGCAGGTCGCCCAGCTGCGAGAGCTGCTTCAGCAAAGACTTCTGCATGAAATGCAAGGAGAAGTTCTACCTGCACAAAGGCCAATGCTTCCGGCAGTGCCCCCCCAGCACAGCGGCTCAGCCCGGCACCCGCGAGTGCCAAGGTAAGCGGCCCCCGCACCCCACGCACCCCGCGCACCGTGCCAACGCGGCATGGTCACCGTCCCCTCCCCGCGCCCCCATCCTACAGAAATATGCGAGCCGGGGCCCTGGAGCGAGTGGAGCGCCTGCACTCACGAGGGCCGGAACTGCGGCTGCAAATGGGGTCTGGAGACGCGGGTGCGCGAGGTGCCGGGCTCCCCACGGGAGGAGGGGGCTGCGTGCCCCGCGCTGCTGGAGAGCCGCAGGTGCCGCCTGAGGAAGCACTGCCCGGGAGGTGAGCGCAGCCCCGGATGCCCCCCGCAGCCCCCCGGCCCCACGCAGCCCTTTGGTCCCTAAAAGCAAGGAGCGCTGTGGGCTCCGGCGGTGAGCGGCGAGCCGGGATCTCATCTCCCAAGCATTTGGAGGTCGGTGGTGGCTGTTATTACCGTGCAGTTCTGGAGAAAGCCGCCTTCCCAAGCACATGTGCTGAGCAGCCCCTGGCACCGGCCCCATCCTGCCCTGCCTGCGAGGGAGAGGCAGCGCTGAGGCTTTCTGCTTTGCAATTGCAAACGGGGAGGGTTGAGCTGCTGGGGAGGGGGGAATTACCTGCAAAAGTCTGCAAAAAACTGCAACCATCTGCAAAATACCAGGGATGCAGAGACAGCTGGAGGGCATCACCTGGGGGAGCTGTGACAGCCAAGTCCTCATCCTGCTCTGAGATGTGTCCTTGGGATAAGGCATCGTCCTCCCCTGCCCGGTGGTCTCCCTGATTTTATCCAGCCCCCATCCCGGGGCTCCTCACCACCCCTCCCAGCACCCAGCCCAGTGGCACTGGGATGGCAGTGGGAACCGGGAGGCGGCTGATGTCACTTTTGGATGCAACCAGCTGGACTGAAAGCTGCTCTAATAAATCTCTGCTTAATAACTGGCAGAAAGGCAGATTGCATGAGATACCGAATCTGTGAGCCTTGGAAGGAGATCTGAGCTACCACCCCTGGCATTGCAGATATTGGAGCTGCAGGTTTGCTGTGCATCGTGCGAGGCGGTGGCAGCAGGAGGGAAGGGCTGGAGGAAGATGAGAATGGCTGCAACCAGGTGTGCTGGGGCTGCAGAGCCAGGAGTGCATCTTCACCAGGGCACCATCAGTCATAAATAACGCTTCATGCTGACAGCGTGGAGGAGCTGATATCCTGCCCTGCTAAAGCAGCTTTGGGGTGCCAAGTGGTGATGATGTAGGGAAATGTGGCTGCACCATCCATGGCCCTCAAGGCTGGTGGCAGTGGGATGTTCTGCTCTGGAGCACTGTGCCGTGCACGTGCTGGAGGTGTGTGTGCACAGCTCGGTGCCCCCACCACCATCCCTTTGTGGGAACCATAGATTTGGATACACCACATCTCATGGGGTGACCTGAGCTGCGAGCCCTGAGGCTGCAGGGATGGGCTCTGAGGCACAGCCAGGTGCTGGTGGGGATCAGCTGTGGGTCTCTCCCTGAAATAGAAGGAAGCCCCCAGTGCATCTGCGTGCAGCCCCAGCAGCAGGAGAAGCCCCTCTGCTCCCCGTCCCCATGCGCCCACCCTCGCTCCCAGGCTCCTGTCCCAACCAGCCGAGTGCTGCCTTATGGGATCCAGATGTTATGGGACAGCGGGTTCGCTCGACGCGCCGAGAGCTGGAGGAAGGAGCTGCCTCATCCCAGCACCGCGCTGTGCGATGAGAGATTTGTGCTACCACTTCTGAGCCGGCCCCTGGAAGCGAGCAGCATCGGAGCTTGGCCCGGGCACAAAACCATCCACGCCACTGTAAATCTGCCTTGTGTCCCCGCCGCGCTCCGTTCCAGACTCTTGGCATCCGTGCCGTGCCCTTTCCTTTGTGGGTGGCAATTGTCTGGGAGATCAGAGCAGAAAAACAGAGCTGAGTAGGAAAAGAGATGGAGCCCTTGGAAAGAAGCAGCATCTCCAGTGCTGGAATGCACCGCTGTGCTGCTTGCGCTCTGGGTGCCCACATGGCCCGGTGAATCCACCTGGATTTTGGGCAGCTCCCAAAAGTTTCCTGTTCCATTGGATCCTGCAGGTCTCATACTGCATCCCGCTTTGCTTTGGGGTCTCAGCATTGTCCCCACTGACCTGCAGACTCAGGAGCTGGAGGGACATTTGGGGAGGCATGGATGTACTCATGTCCTCCCTGTGTCCCATCCATGTCCCACCAACCTGTTCCCACCTCCTCACTCCTTGCACAGAGACAAGGCTCACTGCTTTGACCCCATCACGCAAACCTAAAGGCTTTGGGGACATTGAGGATTTGGGTCCAGCAATGGGTCCTTGTGCCCACACACCCAGCACTGCTCCAGGGACAGCCCTGCATCCCCCCCATCCCACAGATGGGCCTCAGGAAGGATCCAGGTGGCAGCACTCACCCACCTACAGGAGGGCCCCTGCTGCCTATCCCCAGTAAGAAACCCCTCTATTTCTCCTTTTTTTTTTTCTCTTCCAGAGAAAACCAAACTCAGAAACAAAGGCAAAAAGCGGCAGAAGAAGCAGAGGACAGAGCAGGACGCGGGCACCTAGCGCAGCGACCCCCCCGTGCTGCTCCTGCTTTCCAGCTGCAGAAAATTGCACAATTTTCTCCCCCATCACCCCCCTACCCCAACCTCCCCCTTTCTTTTGAGACAATTTATGGCCTGTAAAACATTTCCTTTTCAGAAAATCTAATTTGCAGTGTCCAAAGCAATGCCCTGGGGCTCGGGCAGGGGGTGGCTCCCTTATTTTGCTGTTCTTCCCTCTACCCCTCTCTGCAGCTGGGTGGGATGGGGCTGGTGTGGGTCTGACCGTGCTGCAGGCCATGGATGCTCATCCCATCCCCATGGCACAGAGATGTCCCATCCCCACAGGATCCTGTGTGTGTTGGGGTCCTGCAAGGCTCAGCATCAATGGCACATGTGTGGGTTCACAGCTGCCCTATGTGAGCACGGTGATGTGGGGGATGGGGAGGCTTTGCCCATGCACTCCACATCACAGCAGCCCCCTGCGCCCAGGGAGGAGCCCCACAGCCCCCTCCAGACACGAGCAGGGCAACACCATCCCTGTCCCCATCCAAGGGATATGGGAAAAACATGGAGAAGCACTGCAGCACCTTTGCAATGCGCTTTGCTCCAACTGCTGCTCTCACCACGGGAATCTCTGTGACTGTCTGGAGTTTGGCCACCCCATTCCTCCTCCTGGCACAAATGGGGGCTGTGGGGCCCTTCTAGGAGGAGGGCACTGGGTGTCAGCATCGAGCTGGCTGGGAGCATCGCTCCTCTGTTTGCTTATGGACAAATAAACTATTAAAGCCTCTGGCATCCATTGCCTTTCCTGTGAGGCACTGCTATAGAGACTGTGGGTCAGGGGGTGCTGGGGTCACTCTCAGCTTCAATCCCTGCAGCACACAGCAGTGGGTTTTGGTCATTTCTTTTTGAGGCAGCAGCAGGAGTGAGCAGCGAGCAGTGAGCAATGAGCAGCCAGCTGCATCAATGGGATCCTGTCCCTTGCCCAGGTGCTACTGCAGGGACGTGGGGACAGCAGCCAGCGGGGTGCACACAGGATCTGTGTTAGGGTTAGGATCCAAGAAACCTGGCAGAAAAACCAAGGAGATTCTTGGGCATCCCCATGCCCGGGAAACACCACTCTCCCATGACCACTCTGTGCCCATGGCCAGCCCTGTCCCTACAGCCACTTTGTCCCCATGGCCATTCCTGTCCCTATGGCACCCTGTCCTATGGTCATTCTCATCCCCATAGCCAACCCTGTGCCCATGCTACCCTCTGTCCACACATCCAACCCTGTCATGGACATCCTACAGGCATCCCAGGACATCCTGCAAGCAGTCCTGCACACAGCCTGGCTCCGAGGGCTCTGTGCCAGCCAGCAGGACCCCACGCTGCCCATGGGACGCTCAGAGTGTCACCATTCCACACATTCCACAACAGTTCCTTAACAGGGGGCTGAGCTCGGGAAAACAATGAGTAAACCCCAATCATCCCCAGCGACCCCACAGCAGCTCTTCCCCAAATCCTATGTGGGGCTCATCCAGGTCCCGCTCTGCTCCGCTGCGTCCCCGCGGTCCCCACGGGCCCATCCCACAGCCGAGCAGCCAAACGCAGCGCTCCGCTTCCCCCGTCGTTATTAATAGCTGCGGGCGGGGGGGTGGGAGCTGGGGCTGCTGGGAGCAGGGCGGGGGGCTCGGGGCTACAGTGGGGCTGGGGGTGCGCAGGGATGGAGGGCATCCGGGCTGTGTATGTGAGATAGGCAAAGATGACGTGTGAAACTTGATCTCCCCGCGGTGGGTTCAGAGGAGAGGGAAAAAAAAAAAAAAAAAAAAAGATAAAAGTATTGTTTTTAGATTTTTTTTTTTTTTTTTTTTTTTTTTTTGGTGTGTGTTTTTTCTTCCCTCTCAAGGGCTGCCGCGGGACTCAGCTGGCGATAAAAGGCTGCGGGGCGGCCGGAGGCGGCTCAGAGAGCAGCGGGAAGCGATGCCGGCCCCGCAGAGCTGCGCCCGGGGGTAGTGCGTTGTGCCGGAGGGTCCGGGGGGGGCTGCGTGTGCCCCGTGCCCGCGCCATGCGTGCGCTCAGCCTCGTGGCATTGGCAGCGCTGTGCACAGCCGCGTCCCAGCGTCGGGCGCTGGACGTGGGCAACCGCCGGCGTTGGCACCGCGTGCAGCACGGGCACTGCAGCTACACCTTCGTGCTGCCCGAGGCCGAGCCGTCGCCGTGCCCGCTCGCCGCCCCCGGTCCCGTCAACGCGCTGCAGCGGGATTCACCGTCCGGCAATGGACACGCTGCCCGCGGGGCTGCCCAGCGCCTGCAGCACCTGGAGAGGATCCTGGAGAACAGCACGCAGTGGTTGCTGAAGGTAGGCAATGGGGAGGAGGTGCCCCCTGGAAGCGCTCTGTGCAGGGGTTTGGTGCACCAGGCTGCCCAAATCTCATGTCCAGAGCCTGAGCCGATGCTGCTTTCACCCAGCGCGGTCTGCCCAGAGGGGATGGGTGGGCGCTGTGGGTGCTGCTGCTCACTGTGCTGTGTCCCTCTGCGTTCCCACCGCGGTCCCCTCCTTGTCCCTGTGCCCGTGCCGTGCCGGTGGTTCTGAGCACCTTACAGAGCTCAGCACTCCCTGCGCACGGTCAGGATGCGGCGCTGTCGAGAAGCTGCCGGGAAGGCTTTTGGCACGCAGCGGGGTGAGGGACCGAAGGGCAGGGTTCGTTGTGTTCCCGCTTATGGGCTTCGCAAATGTTCCTGGCACTGGACGAGACTCTGCATGGGAAACACACCTCGTGGCCTTCCAGCCCCACGGGGGCACTGGGAGCCCCAGGCCCACAGCAGGGGCAAAGCAGGAAGGAGGGCACCCTGTGCCATGGACCCCCTCCTCTCCCCATCCCAGGGACCCCTTGCTGCTCTCCCCCGTTCCCGGCCTCTCAGGGTGAGGCAGGAAGCGGCTTTTCCTTTCCGAGGTCTCACCCGACACCTCCTGACCTCACATCTGTGTGAGCATCAGAGAAGAACTCCCCCAGGGCCACGTCCCCACAGTGGGACCTCAGTCCCCACGGCTTGTCCCCGGCTGTCACCCAGTCGAACTGAGTGGCACTGCGAGCACCGCATGGGGACAGCAGTGGGCACACGAGGGATGCACAGGGCTGCCCCTTGTCCTCTCCTCAGCTGACTCAAACCACAAATTCCTCAAAAGCTGGGAGCAAGCTGAGTCCTGAGAGGATGCTGAGCCCCAGGGATACGCTGAGCAAAACCCAGCTGTGCTGTGTGTGCCCATCTGGGCAGCTGCTTGCAGTGGTGCTGCACCCCGTGAGCAGGGGCACAACTGGTGCTTGTCCCACCCCAAAGCACGGCCCCTCTGCTGCAGGCAGCTCGCAGTTGGGTCTTTATTTTTTTGTGTGTGTCCAGTTTCTTTGCTTTCCTAATTTAACTGAAACTGCACAAGGAGGTTTGTTTTGGTTGGGATCCAGGCCTGAACAAACAAACTGGGCTCAAAGGAGGCACCGGACTTGAAGACGGGTTGTAAACAACCCTGAATCCTTGTCTGCCCATGGAACAGAGGATTCAGGCTGTGCCCAGGGCCAGGAATATGGCACAGTCCCTTTGGGACCCCTGACCTTCAGCACACAGACCTCTGGGGGCCAGTCACCCTCCCCACACTGCCAGGCACGCTGTCACCAGAAGGGACAAGCAGTGACACAACGAGGACATGAGGACACTCACGTGGCTTTGCCCAAGGGAGGCTGCATGGTGGTGCTGCAGAGATATGGGCACCAAGCACGTCTCAGTGCCACCATTCCAGCCCTCCATCTGGGGAGTGACAAGGTGTGGGGCACAAAACATGCTCACAGGAAGGATTGTGACCCCAGTGCCTGGTGCAATGTGACCTCCCAACTGTTTGCAATGGGTTTCCAGTGCAGGGACATTGGGGTGGCCGTTCTGTGCTGCTGGCTGGAGGCCTCTCGCCGTGGGGTTTTGCTGCTGAGCAGAAATTCTTGTGGAGGCTGCAAATGTTGGCAGCTCTCACTGTTGGCCCAGGACACAACGCGGGGCCGGAGCTGGGCTCACTTGTGGTCAGAGCACTGCTGGAGCAGCGTCCCCCCAGTGTCACACTGAAAGAGGGATAGGACCAGCAGTGGGGAACCTGCTGCCTTCCTGGCTTTGTGGCCCCATTCCTGCCCTGCTCCCCCAGTTCCTTCCCTGTAGGAATGGCCCCATGGCTGCAGATCTGGGAAGTGACCTTCTTGGGGAAGGTCCCTTCATTCCTTTCTGCAGCCATGCAGTCCCCACATGGGTCCACACTATCCAGGGATTCTGCAGCTCCCTTCAGCCCCAGCTGCTTCCCAGGTCGATGCCTTCAGCAGAGCCATGGTTGGGGCCTGGAGGCTTTGATGCTCCCCCCGGGTAGAGCAGGGTCCCCCAGAAGAGGCCCCAGCACCACTCACAGGGAGCAGCTGGGGCTGTGCTCAGCCTTGCCTGTGCCAACTCGACCTTTTCCATGGGTATGTGCTGCCCTTAACTCAGAGATATGTTTATTTTGAAGAAAAAAAAAGGCAAAATCAGGAGGGAGAAATGGCCTCCAGAGCCCTGAGAAGCAGCAAGATTAACGACGTGGTTAAAGGGAAACTCTCCAGCAATCGCTCAGCTGGGGAAGTGCTTTCTAGACATGGCACTGGGAAATGGGGTTTGGTTCGCAGCAGCTCAGAGAGCACAAGATCCACTTGGAGAGTGGATCCATGGGGCAGAGGGATCCATGGGGCAGAGGGATCCATGGGGCAGTGTTCCCAGCGTGGGCAGCAGCACATCCCTTCCGCTCCCTGCAGTCCCTGCACAGTGGCCCCAGGGCCACAGTCCGCACTGATGCTGTCACCCCAGAGAGGGGATGAATGGGAACCTCATGGCAGCTGCCAGAAATAGAAACCCACTGGGAAGTGCTTGTCCCCTGCGGGCTGGGAAAGCGGAAG